AATGGCTCACCACTGGTCAGCTGCATGCTGGGATTGCATGAAAGGGAAAACTTGCTGATTTCCTTCTTAATCACCTCAACTTCTTCCCAATATGTGATGGCCAGTGTCTTCACTCGACGATTCGCTGCTCGCACCAGAACTTTACAGCGAAAACTCATCAGGCTCGCCTTCAGTTGATCGGTGGGTGTTAGCTGCTTAAAAACGAAGATAAGACATAAATCTGAAAGGGGTCGAAGAGGTGGCATGGCTGAAGATGAGATGTTTGAAGCTTTAAAGAAGTTTGGGAAAGAGCGAAAAGGTACTTTGTGTGTCTTCTCAGGACAAACTGCGAGTGAGAAATTACCGACAGATTTTCAAAATAAAAATTTAAATCGCTCCTCCATTTCTACACTGGCGGGGCGAAGGGAGAGAGAGAGAGGCGGTGGGGTGGCAATAGACGTCAGCAGCGCATCGTACACGTCAGTGAGAGAAACGGAGAGAGAACTTCTCCGCTCTCTGCTTTGAGCTGTGCTGTCATCAGCAAGCCTTGTTGTTGCCACATTCCACCTTAAAACACCGGTATCAAGATAAGAGAAAGGAGTAGAAAGGAGTGAACCGATTCACAACCTCACCATCATCAGCATCATCGTCACCACCACCGCCACCATATTCACCTTTACACAGAGTTAGACCACCAGACACCTCTGTGAAGATGGTAAGCGTTTGCCGTTTTGAAAGTTGTCAACAAGAGCGGCGTCTTTTTGGGCTGATTTGTACTAACATCTTTTTTCTATTTTCTCCTTCTCCTTCAGCCGCTAAAGTTGGACGTCCGCCGCAAGCTGCTCGCCCACTCTGACCGCGTCAAATGCGTGGACCTGCACCCGGTGGAGCCCTGGCTCCTCTGCGGCCTCTACAGCGGCCACGTGCACATCTGGAACTACGAGACGCAGCTGCTGCTGAAGTCCTTTGATGTGTGCGATGTCCCGGTGCGCTGCTCGAAGTTCATCCCCACCAAGAACTGGATCGTCACGGGGGCGGACGACATGCAGGTGCGCGTCTTCAACTACAACACCCTCGAGAAGGTGCACACCTTTGACGCCCACTCCGACTACATTCGCTCCATCGTCGTCCACCCGACGCAGCCGTACATTCTCACCTCCAGCGACGACATGATCATCAAGCTGTGGAACTGGGAGAAGAGCTGGGCCTGCACGCAGGTCTTCGAGGGCCACACGCACTACGTCATGCAGGTGGTGGTCAACCCGAAGGACAGCAACACCTTCGCCAGCGCCTCACTCGATCGCACCGTCAAGGTCTGGCAGCTGGGCTCCAATGCGCCCAACTTCACGCTGGAAGGCCACGACAAGGGCGTCAACTGCGTCGACTACTGCCACAGCGGCGACAAGCCCTACCTGATCTCGGGCGCCGACGACCGCCTGGTGAAGATCTGGGACTACCAGACGAAGACGTGCGTCCAGACGCTGGACGGCCACGCGCAGAACGTAGTGGCCGTCTCCTTTCACCCGGAGCTGCCCATCTTCATGAGCGGCTCAGAGGACGGCACGGTGCGCGTCTGGCACCTGAACACCTACCGCCTGGAGAACACGCTCAACTACGGCCTGGAGCGGGCGTGGACGATCGCCTGTCTGAAGGGCAGCAACACCGTCGCCATCGGCTACGACATTGGCAGTCTGGTGATCAAGCTGGGCAGGGAGGAGCCCGCCATGTCCATGGACAGCTCGGGGAAGATTGTCTGGGCGCGACACGCCGAGCTGCAGCACGCCAACATTCGCTCGCTGGGCAGCGGTGGAGCTAGCAATGAAGCAGGAGGAGGAGATCAGGAGACGATCAAGGACGGGAACATTCTCCCGCTGGCGGTGAAGGACATGGGCAGCTGCGAGATCTACCCGCAGACCATCTCCCACAACCCGAACGGCCGCTTTGTGGTGGTCTGCGGCGACGGCGAGTACATCATCTACACGGCGCTGACGCTGCGCAACAAGAGCTTCGGCTCGGCGCAGGAGTTTGTGTGGGCGCAGGACAGCAGCGAGTACGCCGTCCGCGAGCACAACTCCACTGTGAAGATCTTCAAGAACTTCAAGGAGAAGAAGAGCTTCAAGCCGGACACGGCGGCGGACGGCATCTTTGGCGGCTTCATGCTGGGCGTCCGCTCGCCGGCCGGCTCGCTCGCCTTCTACGAGTGGGACTCGCTGGAGCTGATTCGCCGCATCGAGATCGCCCCCAAGGCGGTCTACTGGTCGGAGAATGGCGAGCTGGTGGCCATCGCCTCCGAGGACAGCTTCTACATTCTCCGATACAACCCCGAGGCAGTGTCGCGCGCCTTTGAGGGCGGCGACGCGGCGGAGAACGAGGCGATCACCGACGACGGCATTGAGGACGCCTTTGACGTGGTGGGCGAGGTGGCGGAGACGGTGAAGACCGGCCTGTGGATCGGCGACTGCTTCATCTACACCAATCACCTCAACCGCCTCAACTACTTTGTCGGCGGGGAGATTGTCACCATCTCGCATATGGACCGGTGAGACCACTTTTTTGGAATTGCGTTAATCATTCGCTAACCTTTCCATTTCTCTTTCTACCCTTCTACCAGTGCCATGTACCTCCTGGGCTACATCAGCCGCGAGAACCGCCTCTACCTGGGCGACAAGGAGCTGAACGTCGTCTCCTACTCGCTCCTCCTGCCCGTCCTCGAGTACCAGACGGCGGTGATGCGCAACGACTTCGAGGTGGCCGACCGCATTCTGCCGGCCATTCCCCGCGAGCAGCGCACCCGCGTGGCGCAGTTTCTGGAGAAGCAGGGCTACCGCCACCAGGCGCTCGCCGTCAGCACCGACCCGGAGCACCGCTTCGACCTGGCCATCTCACTCTCGGACACGAAGACCGCCTACCAGCTGGCGCTGGAGGCGCAGTCGGACGCCAAGTGGAAGGAGCTGGCAAAGCTGGCCACCTCGCTCTGCGAGTTCGACCTCGCCCAGCAGTGCTACAGCAACGCCTCCGACTACTCGGCGCTCCTCCTGCTGGCGACCAGCACCGGCAACGCCGCCATGGTCGGCCGCCTGGCGGAGATGGCCCGCGAGAAGGACATCTACAACGCCTCCTTTCTCAGCTACTTCATCCTCGGCGACCTGCGCCAGGCGCTGGCGGTCCTGGTGGAGACGGGCCGTCTGCCGGAAGCCGCCTTCTTCGCCCGCGCCTACCTCCCCTCGGAGGTCTCCCGCGTGCTCGCCCTCTGGAAGGAGACTCCGAAGGGGCGGACGGACAAGTCGGTGCAGGCGCTAGCGGATCCCAACCAGTACGAGAACCTCTTTCCCAACTTTCAGCAGGCGCTGCGGGCGGCCGAGGAGAGGGACCGGGCGCTGGGCGTCACTGCTGATGAAGGTAGTGCTAGTGGTAGTAGTACTGGGCCAACGAGACGATTCCGGGCAAGGGACTACCTGGCGGTTAAGGAGCGGCTGGAGAGTGGCGGCGAGCCGGCCGCCCTGCAGCTGCTGCTGCAGCAGGAGGAGAGTGGCGATGGACTGTCGCTCAGTGCCAAGATGGACCGGCTGACGGTGGCCGAGGAGGCGGGGAAGCGAACAGAAGATGTGGAGGAGGAGATTGAAGCTTACCGGGGAGGAGAGGAGGAGGAGGAGGAAGAGGAGGAGGTAGAGTTTAGTGATGCTGATTAGGTAAGACTTGAGGTGTCTTTCTTTGAAATGTAAAACTCATTTATTGTTTTTCTTCTAGTCCCCCGCAATCCACCCCGCCCACCTTTACACCACCACCACCACCATCTACACACC